CTTCTAGGTCCTTAAATGTGGCCTTTTGACTGAATCCAAATTTTACAGAACAAATCCTTTTATTTGTACTAATACATTTTTGTTCATCTTTTATATATTTAAAATGAACGTATTTAAAATACCAAAGGAAAGATAAGTATCAATGAAATAATCCTCTCAGATTGACCAGCACAATTAGAACATCAGTAAGCCATAAGGGCTAAACTGATGGCTATTATGCTCATGATTTAGTTCTAACTCCCTCCCAACTGGTGCCACTACCGCATGAGGCTGATTGGAGAGAGTTTATGGGGGTCCAGTACACCAGTCTATTGTCAGCTTTTAAAAGCGGTACACTGTTTCTGTTTGAAGTAAAATTTGTGAATAGTTGCACAGCTCGACAGTATTTTTAATTCTGTCTGCTTAACAGCCCATGATGTCAAAGAAGACCAAGAGAACACTGAAGAAAGCAAATAGATTTTTAAATGAGGATTGGGAATTGCGATATTGTTTCTGCTAAAGATAAGATGATTTTCTTGCCTTGTGACACTGCAATGTCAACATTAAAGAAATTCAATGCTCATCAGCATTATAACTCTCATAAGCACCACAAATATTTTAAATTAGAGGGAGAGGCGCAAAAGGTTGTATTGCAGAAATTAAAAGATGAAAGGCAAAAACAAAGAATTCTTTTAAGCAGCAACAAGACCCGGAAATAACGCCACTGAAGCAACTTATAAAGTAGCTTATGTATTCAGGGGGAAAAAAAGGAGCCATTCCGTGATGTAGAAACTGTCAAGGAATGCATTGTCGAAGTTGTAGGATGCTTAGACGCTGATAATGTTTCAAAGCACAAACAACCGCCTCTTTCAACGGAGAAACATAACTCATCACCAGCACAAATTAGGCTTCAACTTAACAGAACATGCAATACAATATTTCAACTTCATGCAATGCTTCAAAAGGAAAATATATATTATTCAATTGCTTTGGATGAATGAACTGATATTACTGACTCGGTACAAGTTTTATACTTCATTCAGGTCATAACAGAAGATTTTCTTTGCTATGAAGAGTTACTCTCTTTGGGCATTCTTGAGAACAGAACATGGGAATAGATATCTTCAACAACTTTCAAGATAAATGTTGTGAAGATAGACTGAATTTGGTAAATTTAGTGAATGTATGTACACACAGTACACCTTCGATGATAAGAAAACATGGAGGGTTTTTTGCGCAGATACAAAAAGTATTAACAGGTCCAGATGCTCTCATTTCTTTTCATTGTATCTTGCATCAGCAAAATCTCTGTGCTAAAGCTACCAATTTAAGTGACACTTTGCAACAAGTTATAAGTATTTATCTCTGTGAGAACAGATAATTAAATTTCATGAAGAACAGAATCAGCAATGTGAATTATTGAAAGAAGACTTCTATAGGAATGCAGCATTTCTGTGTGATACCATGTCAAATCAAAATGACTTGAATATTTCTTTGCAAGGTAAAACTAAGTCTATATATGATGTGGCAAAAAGATCCAAGCATTTCGAAAAAAGCTTTTTCAGAACATTTCTCCTTCAAAAGGAAATTTCAGATGAATATTTTCCCCAGTTAGCAAAGGGTAATGATGAGCAGGATGCTATATGCAAATCATCTGAAGAATGTGCAGCTGTTATAGACCTATGAATTGGAGAATACAGTGAAAGGTTCACTGACTTTTGAGAATCACGACATCACATTCAAATTAGCATTTCAGCCTCACCTAGTTGA